TGATATGGTCATGCATGTTGTTCTTTGTTTCTCAAACAGCTTTTGAAGGCGACGCCTCAGCTGCGGAGGCCTGCGCCCTGCGTACAAGGCCAGCCATGCCTCACAAAATGGCTGAAGTGTTGCGGTTCTTGAGCACGTTGAACAAGAACCCTGGCTCCTCTGAGGAAGCACAAATGCACATGCTGGAGGCCTGCCTCAGTGACATCCGTGCAGGACCCAAGCTGAGCATGGGCGACGCCACAACAGTTTTGGAAGACCTGGAGGCCTCAGACTTGCCCCGAGGCGTGAAGGACAAAGTGGTTGCCTGCGTGCAGGACATGGCGACCTGCAGCTTGCAGGACACAAGCGAGACTGCTAAGAAGCAGGGGAACAAGGTGAACCAGAGGGCTCTGGGCTTCCAGGACTTTTTTGTGCAGCCTGAGTGGGATGATTTGACATCTTGCCGCACAGAGATGAACAGCAAAATGAAGGTGATTGCCAAGAGGATGTGTTTGCTAGGCATGAAGTATGCGTGTGAGAAGACATACGTACTGGCGACCGCCATGCTCTTACTATGCACGCACCAAGGGCCGCCTCAGGACTTGGAGGTGAACGCCAAGCATGCTTATGGCGTGTTGCTGGATCTGAAGACGGTTTGTCGGGCTATGACCAAGAGCTATGCCGACAGCAGCATTCGACTGTACCCACAGCGACCTGAGGATCTGCCCGGGTCGCTGTTTCGTGCAGCATATGCAACCAATCCGCCAGTTGCATGTCCTTTGGACGGCTTTGCCCTGAAGTCGCTCAGCCAGCAGCTGGCGGCGAGAAAGAGCCACGCCAGCATCAGCCGCACCATTTCCATAGGTGCCGGTGCACATGGCAAGCAAATGTCTCTTGCAGGCATGGACATGCAACAGCTGATGCAAGGTGCCGCCGTACTGAGCCAGATGTTTCAGAATCAGCAGGCAGGCGCTGGCGAGTGCAATATCTCCTTTCTGCACGGCAACTCCAAGCCGAAGCGTGCGGCTAAGGCTCTTTGCGACGGCCCTGCAGAGACCCTGCAGCAGGAGGAAACTGCTGCTGCAGCAAAGGAGACTTGTGCGGAGGAGCCTCGTGCGAAGGAGCCTTGTGCGGAGGAGCATTGCCCTGCGAAAGAGCCAGAGGTCAGCACTCCAGCTTCGAAGAGACAAGCGAAGGCTGATCTCGACACCATGGCTTCGGCGATCGGGAAGCAGCTCGCACTGAGCAAACAGCCGCAGGAAAAGGTGGAGGACACGCCTGGGCCAAAGGAAAAGAAGCCGCTGAAGACGACGCCGAAGAAGACGGTGGCCAAAGCAAAGGCGACGAAGACGATCAAGACGGGCTCCAAGCTGAGTGGCTATCCTGGAATTTCCAAAAAGCCACCGCAGTATTTGGCCTCTTGCACCATCTATACGACTCATGAGAGCTGGCGCGTCAGACCTGCAGGAAGCAAGCTTGACAAAGCTTTCCGCTTCGGCGACAAGCCCAAGGCTGCGTGGAAGGACTTGGCCGAGTATGTGGCCAAGCTTGCCTGATCATGCATTCATGCAACTGAGGCTGGAGGAGGCTTGCCCCTCTTGCAGCCTGCGCCGGCAAACGCCCTGCGCTTACGATCCAGTCTTAGCGCGTGCCAAGGGGTTCGGCGCGCATGAGAAAACATTATACTCAAGTCCGAAATGCCTGCGCCACACCTTTTCGAAACATTCAGGTGTCATGTTTCATACATGTTGGCATCGTGCCGGTCTGGGCTCAAGAGCAAAATCCGAGGCCTTGGTCATGGCCGCCCCACATAATTCCTAAACCCTAAAAGCCTCAACCCTAAACTTCAAACCTCATAGCTAAAACTTTAAACCTTCTGTTCACGCAAACCTTTCCCTGACTATGTATACGT